GGCCCCTTCATCAGGGCGACATTGTCACGATAAACAGGTCACAATGTCGCCCTGATGAAGGGACCCTGCGTGGCCCCAAAACGTTGGCTTCTTGATGCATGTGTCATATCAATAAAAGTGCTATCCTTTTTGCACATTACAAGTGAGTGCTGGTGACTACTATCTTTACTTGGATTGTTACACGGCGCCATCCGTTTCGTCATTTCGAACACCGACGGATATTTCGTTTGGTTCAAGCTCTGTATGGTGTGCAGGTGATTCTCTAACGCTATTTACATAAAAATGCAGACATAGAGAATAATTGTTCTCTTGGAGTCATTGCGTTGAGCTTGCGCTGATGAAAGCAGATTAACGCAGTTTAACGCACCTGGTGTGAACAAGCCCTAAGGGTCACAATACACATTGCAATCTGACCATACAATCTTTATGCAATCAACTTTATATGTACCAAAACTATGTAATATGAGGACCTGCCTGAACTGCCAAAATAATCTGCATCCAATGAGGCAGGCCCTTGCACTACATAGTTGTTGGTAGATCTAAAGGAGTTTGTACAATTATATTGTATACTATGTGGTGAGCTTAAAGAGACACTAAACTCAAAAATGAAATCTTAAAAAAGCATTCAAGTACCTTAAGGCTGGGTTCACACCTAGGCGTATTGCAAAAGCGCGTCTGTCGCGCGACCGTCGCGCGTTTTTTTTACCACGATTCCAAAGGCTACTTGGCTGTATCCCAATGGAAAACGCCCTACAAAACGGCCCAAAGTAGTCCCGGGACCTTTTCAGGCGTGGGCCGTTTTGTAGGGCGTTAGGGACGGGCGGAAATACGCCTAGGTGGGAACGAGGGCATTGACTACAAGGCTATTTATTTTTTTACCGTTTTGTAGAGCGTTCGCCGAGCGTAGGACGCGCTACAAAACGGTCAGGTGTGAACAAGGCCTAAATATTAACAAAAATGTATCTTATTTGTGTATCACTCGGTTGTAGATCCTCAAATCATCTCTGAATTGGTATTTAGAGTGTATTCCTGTGGCTGGGATCACAGGTAGTTGCATATACCCATGGCCGCTCAGCCTGCACAAATCAAGGACAGGCTGCAGTTGTTCGTGGC